CATAATTCAAATATGAAATTAGTAGGGATTAATTTCTTTTAAACAAAAGCGTTATCAAGAGGAGGTAAATGGTTGACTACAGTCGCAGCATCACCTCTGCCACCTCTTAAGTGTGTCTTAATGGCTTTAGTATCTTTACTACCTTAATGGAATGCTAACTGAAGTTGGTCTTATCACTTCTCTCAATGCCTTTGTTCCCCTCTTTATACCATATCTACCAACCATTTAAACTCATGCAATCCTCAGAGCTTCCATCTGAGGGCCTTTCCTAACATGAGAAAGATAAACATTGGATTTCAGAGAATTGCTTTCAGATTTTGCAAGAATTCTTTAGTGATTATAAGCCATCCTGGCTTTGTATCTTCACTATATATCTGCTTCTTTTCTACTATCTCATTGAATCCTCTGCCACCTCCAAAGTATGAAGGCAATGTGTTTACTGCAGACTCAATTCTCTGCCACAGGTAAATTATTTTAAAAAAATTAATATCAGTGAGGAACAAGCCTCTTACAGAGAACTGCAAAGGCACATATCAGCCTGGTATGTTAAATTCACAAAATAATTAAAAGTAGTTATTATAAGTGGATTTTTTAGCAAAAACACTCCCCCTCAATTAATAAGCAGCAACCCAAAATACAGTTACTACTATCCATCTACAGTATCCCTGTAATAATGTCTGATTCTGATCTCGGTTACACTTTAGATATTAATTCGACCTGTTCTGTCTCTTCAAAACAAACATACGTTTGTCCAGAAACGTATTTTGTTTGGTTGCTTTTTTAAAAATTATGAAAATGTTGAATGCCATATATGGAAGTTAATGAATGTTGGGCTTCTAATAACTATTTTGTGCCCTTCAAAATTTTCTTTTTCATTGCTTATGTATGATAGTTGAGGATTTGGGAATATATTCAAGAATTCTACATTTGCACTCCAAAAATGCAGAATGGGACAGAAAAATTTAATGAAGATTCCAAATACTTTGATTAAAATTTTTACATTCTAATGTAAAGTTTGACTTTAGTTTGAAGTTTGACTATGATTTATCATGTAAAAAACCTGGCCAACTAAAGTCATGATTTCAAAAGACCATGCCAGTATGCAGTAACCACATTAGGATCACACCTTCGTTCTGTAAAAAATATATAAAAATGTGACCTCTGATTAAGTAATCAATATTGAATAATTGATGAAAAATTTGTCAACATTTACTATATTACAAAATAATAAACACTAAGATTAAGCTTTTCTGTGTAGTCTTCTATTCCAAAAGTTTTCAGATATAAACCTGCTTTGAACCATGTCAAATAGCTGTAACAACTTAATACAGATGGAAACAACTGAATGAATATTTTGAATATTAGATATTGTTAGATATATCTTACAGATGGAGTTATTTTGAAACCTGAATTCAAATATTTCTAAGGATTAAACAACACACTATAATGAAGTGTGGTAATATTTTTTAGTGATCAATAAAGGATTTCTTCTAGTAGGAACAATGCTTTCACACTCAGTCATAAATACGATTTCCCATTAGAGAGCTTTTTACTGCTTTGTAAATAATTGTTCTTTGTTACCAAAAATTTAAAATTACCTATAGCAGGTATAGCTAAGAGAAATCATTAATCATTGTATCTATGATACTAATATTTCACCTGCATATGGTAATTACATTCTGTTCTTGATATCCACCGTGAAATACCAAATAGCTTAGCATATTAGCCTGGATAATCTTTGCATATGTTCATAAAAGAATGAAGCCAATGATTTGGTTCACTTCCCACACTTATTAGAGAGGCTCAAGGTCATTTTAAAAAAATTATTTCAACCAAATGTAAGTCACGCCTAATGCACATAGGACTAGGTCATAAAAAATATTAGGGAATAAAGGTAGAATATAAAAAATTATTCAGCTTTTATCTAACTCCAAAATCATAAATTTTTGTCTTTTAGGGTCTATAGACACTCATATATTCTAGTTTTGCACATTTCAGGAAAGCAAGTGTTGATGGACTAAGCCATTCACAAGCCAGTTTATAATGAAGCCTGGCCAGATGCAGAACATCAGTCAACAAAGATTTTGTATGTACAAATGGCTTGATGTACCAGCCATTTTCAGAGAATACTTAAAGCCATCCCAAATGGTTGTCCTCCCAAACTAAGAGAGTCATGGCTTTCATTTTATTTTTGATAGTCTGAATGAAGGATGCATATTTGATTATATTTTATCTAAAAGACTAGACTTCTGAACTAGTAGGACCCTTAACTCCTTTCTCTACGTGGGCCAAACTCATCTCTCGGGAGTATGTTAAGTCACACCAAGTTATTCAGAAGGTGTATAGAGATGGTACTCTATCCTCCTTTATTGAGATTCTACAACTAAGTGAAAATATCCTCATTATTGGAACAAGACTCTTTACTTGATAGAGTCTGACTATGGACCCTTATATCAGTTTCACCCTCACAGTATCTGTGTTATTTATCTAATATTTTTCTTCATGGAAATGATCAAGTTCTCTTCTCTTAGATCAAGTTCTATTCTCTTAGAATAGGAAAAGCTTTTATATATGTTTTGATTTATACTCTTTACAAGACCAATTGTATATGTTGCAAAGCATGTCCCTTGAGCTGAGTGAGCCACCTGGAATGTTGAAGGCTTTCCCTTCCTCTCCTCTGACCTACTTAGCTCCAAATATGAGCAAAATCAGAATACTCATTTGTAATATTTCTCTTTTAAATATTCTGAGATGCCTCACTTTTCTGATAAATCTGTAAGTTTAAATACGGCTCAAAAGAATTTAAAAAAAAAGAGCACAGATTCTAAATTGATATTAAAAATGTAAAGATGTAGAGAGCATGACAATTAATTTAATAAAAAAAATTATTTTTGCTGCATACCTAAAACATCAGATCAAAATGTTACAGGTATAAAGGTCCCTTTTTTTTAATAAATAAATAAATACATAAACCCCCAATATATGCTGAGGTGATATTTTATACTATGTTTCTTTATAACACTATCAGTTTCAATGGAGTTTCAAAAATACAATGGGCAGAATGGAGGAATCTGTTTTCTACTATGCAAATTTTATTGTGTAAACGAGATTGGTGGTCAGGAGCAAAATTCAGCTCTCATGTTTCTGCCAGCTCCATGTAACTGAAAGCTAATCAACTGATATCTTTGTCACAGCTATATAAAAGTTCTGTTTTTCTTGAGATAAATTCCACAAAAGTAGAAAGCATTGATTATGTGGTCAAAATATACTGTAATATATCACATCAACATAACTACAAACCTCCATCAACTCTTAACTGGAGGAAAAAGCAATATAAGAAAAACAAGTGAAAATTACAAAGGTAATGCCTGGAGTTTGGCGGTTTTTTGTTCGTTTGTTTGTTTGTTGGGGTTTTTTGGGGGTGGTTGCTTTTTTTTGGGCCTATTCTGTGACATCATATCTTAAAGTAGTATGCGGTTTGCCATCTTTGAAATAAGGCCTTTGTCGTCCAGGAAAGAAAATGGTCTAGTTAGAACAAGTGACAGGCATATCCACTACTTCTTTTATGATAAGATTTTTTTTTCTCTTTTAATTGCAATGGCAGTCCTTCCAAGCAAAATATTCTCCCCTTTAGTGAATGTTAAAATAGATAACACTGGAAGATTGCTAAGTAGATTATAAGTGACAATAAGAGATACAATTATTGCATTGATAAAGAAATTCTTTATCTTTCATTACCTATGAAAAAGAACTTCCAAAAAAGGGGAAGCTTTCCCCTCTTATACACAACCACCTTTCTCACCAACTCTTCTCTAGGAAACAACTTTCACATCTCATTTTAAATTGTGGAAAAAACTTTTGGCTTCCATTTTACACAGTCTACAAATTTGAACACATTTCCAAACATTTGCTAGGGCCAGTTTTCCAATTTCATGCCACTGAATTTTGGAATTCAATACTATGATGGTTTTGGTGGACAAGGAAAATATTAAACTTCTTCAAATGCTTATAATAATGGTTATTCTTTAGATTGGAGAATTTATATTTCTTTTTTCTGCTTTGCTGGTACTCCATCATCCAATTTGCGATAGAAATTTAAAATACACAGCGTACTCTATTTAAAATATATACTTATTCAAATTGGAAATGAATTTAATAGGGTTTTTTGTCTTCAAATTATGAAAAGGAATTGAAAATAAAATGTTAATTGCATTTTATTCTAACTTATGAAGCAAAAGTTAATTTTGTAATTTGGCATTTATCTGATATTAAAATCTGCATACATGGGAGAGGTTTTGCGCTTAATCTTACAGAATATGTGATTTCACAAAGTGAAAAGTCTAAAGTGGCTATCAATTTCTATTAAGAAATCAGCAAAATAAAAATTTAGTCTTTTCTTAGAGTTTAAATCTGAAAATACTGATGCCTGAGACAGGTAATCTAACTGAAGTGAGGAGATTTCTGGAATGAGTGGAGTTCTTCATATCGATAAAAGTTTGAATAATTGGATCTTTCATGCATTTCAAGGCTTAATTTTTCTACAGCTCATACGTCCAACAACTTAATGACGTAATGTTGTATACACAAAATATTTCATCTACGTGGTTTCAAAACTAGTAATAACAAAAAAGAAACCAACATATATTTTGACATCCAAAGTATATTTAATGCTGTATTTAAATACATATATATGGTATATATCTCTAAACTCTGCTGTTAATTATTTCAAGAATATCTGTTGGCATAGAGAATGACATTACTACTAACCTTCTATTCACAATAATAACATGTAGCACTATTTACCCAATGTTAATAGAAACTTGAATCAATAGTTTTCCTATTATTACATATATATTTTATTACACATGCCGTTGAAAAGGGCTTTTTTTCTGAAAGAGAATACTATGAAAATCTTCTTCCAATTTTTCACCTGTTTTTTCCATATGACTAAGAAACAGTAACAACAACAGCAATTAAAATAAATTAAAAAATGTTCTTACCATGACAACTGGGCAGGGCTCTGTTCCATCCAGGTCTTCCATCATCTCCCATGATACATGTTAGGGTAGAATATCCCTGAAGAACATAACCAGCATCGCAGTAATATGTGACAGTGGAACCCAGTTTATAATCCATTCCAAGTCTTGTTCCATTCATTATATTTCCAGGATCAAAGCAAGACTCACGAAGCTTTGCTATAGAGGAAATAAATGTAAATGTAATTCTAAATATAATCTAAAATGTTACAAATATTTTCTGGAGTTCTCTCAAGGTCTTCTTTGAGCACCCTGTAGACCCTGTTGATTTTTTAAGAAGCCTTTCTTTCTATATCAAATGTTCTCTCTCCTTCCTTTTAAAGCCTTTACAAATTACTATGTAATGACCAAAACTAAGTCTTCTATATTTTTTCCAGATAATTTCTATAGTGCTCCATTACAGAACTATGTTTCTATCAGAGAATTCATTGTGACCAATGATGTAGGTATGTAGTTAGATGGAGGTAGATCCATGGACATTCTTCCAGTAGATAAGACACATCCTAGTTTTAAAATCTGTGGTGAGAAAACTTGTAAATGGAGGAAATTAATATGAGTAGTTTGTTATAAAACAGGAAGTATGCAAACAAGAATTTCTTAAAAATTAATAAACCCTAAATGAATAAATATTTACATATGATATAATGGTACATTTTCATATAGCTCTTTTTCCCTCACTGGAGGACAAACTACAAAAATATTTCTTAAATTTTTCTAATTTTTTAATTTTTTATTGCTATTTCTTTCAAAATATTGAAATAAATTCAAACATATGCACATACTTTTATATTTGTTTCCCTCTTATTTCTACAACATGAATACCAATGTTCAATAAAAAATTGCACAAAAATAAACACTCAGCACTTCTAATTAACAACATTATTATGCAGAAGGTGAGAAAATATAAACATTTTGGAAAAAAAATGCAATTTCCATTAAGGAAAAAAAAACAGTTAATGTATTAGACAGAAGCTATAATGAAGCAGATGACTTTGTGCTGTGCAGGATAGAGTCTGGAGTAATATATTTTATCAAGCACAAGACAGATATTTCAGATTTTATTTAATATGTAAGGGTGTTGTGGAGAAGATCAACAGGGAACACTTCATTTTCTGCAAGATCAGTGTCAACTTTCTAATACATCAAAAGAACTGTTTATTTAGCTGGCATATTTGCACTGCGTAACTTTCTGCTAAAGGTAAGTATCGTTACCAAATTATTATATGAGCCTTGAAATTCCTGAAAGGTTTTTTTAAGAGCTTTAAATAAAAAGACACTTTTTCTGATTCTATCAGTGCTTACACTGAAGTTTCTGAAAAATTGTGGACAAATTATTTATTTGAGTTTTATATAGTTTGGCCACATGTATATTGGTCACTACTACAGCCAAGCTAATGTACTAAGTAGATCCCTTAAGGCCATTTTTATGTTCTACTATATCTGAGAGGAGAGAAATAATTACATTGCATTTACACTTGATAATGGAAAACCAGAATAACTCTTTTGAAATTTCAACTTCACACCTTCCAAAAGAACTTGAAGATCTCCTAATGTGGTTCACAATTTATTAAGATTTACGTATATAATCTACAGAGCATGCTTTTGATATGAAAAACAATCCAATAACAATTATTATATCACATGATTAATCATTAAGATCAGGTATTAGATATTCACATTGATTCATTTAGCTAGTTGTAGTGTGGTGCCTAAAACTGGTTTTACACTCATTCAAAAATTTGAATGGGCAATGAAAAGTTAAAAGAGGCAATCTACTAGAAAGTCTGTAAAGATGTAAAACAGATATTAATAATTATTATGTAAGTCAACCACACCTTCACTTGCAGGTCTTAGGGCAAACTGAAAATTCTTTCAAGTCCAAATTATCAAATTTAGAAAAAAAAAAAAAGAAAGAAAAAAAAGGAAAAAAAGAGGATAATTTAATTTAGGATTACAACTACTATTTTGACAATATCAATAAAGCATTATTTTTCCTTATTATTGAACCAATATTGATATATCTGTATTGATTCACAATTGATACTGTGAGAGCATCATTCTTGAATTTATGATTCCAAAAAATAATTCCAAATATTTCATAATTCTAGAAAATTCTTGTATAAAGTAGATATTAGTACTAAATAAAAAGATAAAGAGAGAAAAAAGTAATTTATTATACCTGATGCATAAATCAAAATTTGAGGAAAGACATGATCTGTCACAGCATAAATTATCTCTAGGGAAAAGTTACAGCCCTATAATTTTCTTTTCCCCAAAATTATAGTTGTGACAGACTCTTGAAGTTGCTGACTAAACAGTTACAATGTCACTATAGAAATACAGTTTTTTAATAACCATTCTGAAAAATAAAGCCTGAAATACTTAGTACCTTAAAATTACTTTTGCAAATCTGAAGGAGCTGCTAAGTGAACTTGTAAAAAAAAGTCATTAGACTACGTTACAGTATGAGAAAAATTATGTCAAATGTGGCAAAAGGATTCATCAGGTCTGGCTGAGAACCAGTGATGAAAAGAGAAAATAAGATTGTATTAGCAAATTTATAAGTGCTGCCAGGAAACAGGAATACAAATCTTTCACCATCAACATCATGTTGCTCCAACTGAGGAACTTGACACTGATGACCACTGTAGCTCTTCCCCTTTCCTTCTCAAGAGTATTACTATCATTAAGCTAAAAACACATAAGGGCAGTCACAGGTTTAGCAGAAGACTGGAAAAAATGCTGGACAGTGTGTGCGCTACAATTTAAGCTGTATTACTATTGGAGCAGCCAAGGTGACAATTTGCTGACCAGGTGGTCACCAGCTCGTTTATGAGTTCTGCTTTTTCCTCCTCCTCTTCTTGTGATAGCCCTGCCTCAAAATAGTCCTCTTCATCCAGCTCCTCCTTTCCCTTCTTAGTAGGAGTTTCTTTCCTTACCAAACCAGCTGCTTTTTGCATTTGATATTTCTTTTTGTGTGTAGGGTGACTGATATGAGCATTGATTGTTCCTCTGGTTCAGCTGCAAAGCTTATCTTGGAAGCTGGAGTAGCCACAGCGTCTGTTGTTTTGGCATCAGATCCAGAGACCTCTTTGCCTTGAGGATGGTGAATTATGTTGAATAGGGCTTGCTAGGCCTGGGCCAGGTCCCAGCCCATTGCAATGAAATGTGTCTCTCTGGAATTGCCAGTGTGACAAGATACTCTTCCCAAATATTTTAGTTTTTCAGGATTCTGCACTTGTTCTGGGTTGAAGTACCAAAATATTGGAGGTGCCTGCTGTCCTTGATTCTTGCCCACAGTATCCCATGCATCCCGCAATTCATAACTATCCAGCCTCAGGGCAGATAGATCTCTGGGCAGTACTCCCAAATAGTTGTTTAATTTTAAACAAAACCTAAGATATATTCAGGAGACATATCAACATGAATATGCTGGTTTGAACATCCCAAGGATATTCAAAATCCTGAAGAGCTATTGAAAGTAGATGGAAGGGAAGATGAAGGTGAAGGAGAAAGGAAAAGTGAAAGAGTGGGGGAAGTGTTACACCTTATCCGCCCACAGATTGGCTCTCTGAACAGAAAAGGTAAGGGTGCAATAATTAATAGGTTTCAAGAGATGGTTCCCTCAGCACAGAGATGACAGCAATGCTGAGTAAAATTACCAGATTAGTCTCACAAACACTGTATATTTTACCATATCATAAGCCAGTGTTACACAGCGATATCTTTTATCCAGTTCCCAGAGGTAACAAGAAGAGAATTTGTAGAGAAAGTAAGTTTTTAAATAACACAACTCTCAGAACAAGCACAACAACTCTGAGCCAAAATTAATCAACATTGTGACCAGCGACTATTAAACTAATATAATGAATGCTTAAAACAGATTTGTTTTAACATGCTCTGGTCAGACCTGCAGCCAATTGAACCTTTCAAACTCCATGTTGAGCACCAGAAAGGTCTGTTGTGGTTTAACCCCAGCCGGCAACTAAGCACCACACAACTGCTTGGTCACTCCTGACGGTGGGATAGGGAAGAGAATCAGAAAGATAAAACTGAAATAACTTGTGGATGACATAAGAACAGTTAAATAGTTGGAATAGGATCTAATAATAATATTAGAAGTAACAATAGAAATAATAATAAACTTTGAAAATGAAAATGAAAATGAAAATGAAAATGAAAATGAAAATGAAA